ACATCTTGCTTTCTCTTAATTTCAACTGTAAGCAATTTAGGCTGTAGTATATTGTTAGGAGGATAATTCAAAATGTGGCCTCCATTCTTCTTGTAATAAGCCAGTTTTTTTTTTCAAACGAATTTCCCAGGGAGCACTACATAACTCCTTTTTTTCTTCCCTTTTCCCCAGCTTCTCTTCCAGGTTCAGAGAGTTTTTCAGTTTGTATCTGTTCTGTCAAGAATGGATTCCTCTGCAAACAGAGCTCCAGGGTCTATCAAGCTCAGTTATAGTAAGCAGAACTCAGACCTCAGGAATTCAGTGAATTGGGTTGGTTTTTTTTTCCCGTTTGGGTCATCCATCCCAATCCTTTAGGGTTTTCCTATCTCCGGGCTGAAGGAATCTACATGATCTTTGCGAAGAATCAATTAGAGAACTGTGGCCTTTGGGGTCACCCAGATTAAAGGAAATGACAGGATGAGGGTGTGGAGCTCTCCGCAGTGCCAGCTCCACATTTCTGCCTACTGTCCCTGGCCTGAGGGACAAGTCCACACCAGGCCACAGTCAACTGCAGGAGAAGATGGAACCATAGGAGGGGAGGGAGATCTGAGAACTGCTCCATCTGCCCTCTCAGGACCACCAAGTTCAAGTTATATGACAATTAGGACAAATTTTCAGGGTTTGAAGATAATGGTGCTCTAGTCTACTCTCGTGGCTATCTGAGGGTTTCTCTCCTTTTATATTATTTGTTCTTTAGCTCTCTAGTTTAGCCTCTCTAGTTTAGGGTTTTGTTTGTTTGCTTGTTTTTCCCCTCACATTGGGGATTGGGCAAAGCGCCTACACATTGAGCTACATCTCCAGCCCTTTTTAATTTTTTTTTTGTTTTTTTGTTTTGTATTTAGTACAGAGTCTACAGGGTCTACAGGGTCTCACTACACAAACTCATAGTAGTCCTCCTGTTTTCAGCCTCCAGAGCGCTGGGATTACAGGTGTGCACCACCACACTTAGTCTCAATCGCTGTCTTAGCACGTTCCGGGGGAGGAGCCAGCTCATTGTGCTGGAGATTGAATCCTGGCCCCTGCGTCTGCCTGAGCAGGTGCTTTAGTCCACTGAGCTATTTGGCTGGCCCTCCTTTTTAATTTTTGAGATAGGGTTTCACTAAAAGTCACTAAGTTTCCCAGACTAGGTTCAGACTTTCTGTCTTCCTGCCCCAGCTTCCCAGAGCTCTAGGATGACAGGCCTGTCTCACTAGGCTCAGCTGTTAGCCTAAACTTTAAAAACTGATAATAGGTAAGAAAAAGTGAGGGCTATTGGTGTCCTGTACTTCCAACTTCCTCTGTGCTCCAGACATCCTTCCCGGCTTTGCAACAGACGGTGAGTGTAAATATGGGACTGACCTGCTTCCAGGTAGGGCCGAGTTAGCCTCTAATCTGGTTAATAGTGTTTTATTATTCATGAGTGTATATATTAAGTTGTATTTCCTGGTAGACTTCTTCTCTGTGGAGCAAATGCAACTCTGTGATAGTGAAGACTCTTCTTCACCATTCCTCACTGCTGAGAGTGGGCTTTGTCTTTGTTTTTCTCTTTGTTTGACCTTCTGTTCAAAGGACTGCTCTGCAAATGGACCTCACCAAGGTGCATTGCTAGCTTTCTGTTGCTGTGGCCAAATGCCTGAGAAGAACAGCTTAGAGCAAGGAAGGATTGCTACCCTGGCTCCCTCACCGTGACGTGAGGTGTTGTTATGATGGAAGGGTGTGGTGGAATGAAGTTGCCTCATGGCAGTCATGAAGCAGAGGGTTCGTCCTCCTGCTTTATTCCATGCTGGCCCCCAGCCTGTTGGGTGCTGTCATGCACATTCAGAGTGCCCCCTGCTCCCCCTGCTTGCTCTCCCATGTGCCAGTCACTCTGGAATCACTCTCACAAGCACAGTCAGCAGTATGCTTCGCTGATTTGCTGGGCATGTCTAATTCAATCACATTGACCACCAACATTAACCATCACGGTTCACACAGGCTTGCTGGGTGTGAGTGTCTGTGGACCTGATTCATCAGTCACCAGGTTGTAGACATCCTCTCAGAGATCTGTGGGTACAGAGGCAGGTCTTGCTACTCTCTCCAGAGGATCACATCGTGTGTCCATCCCAAGGGATGAGAATTGGTTGAGGAAGAATAGGAGGACTTAGGATGGTCTGTGGTCCTGGGAGACACCTGGGGAACATTTACCTGTATCCCGGGAGCTCTGTGTTCTTTGAGGGGATTGGACAGAACCAAGCAGTCTTCTCCAGGGGCTTTTGTGGCACTTGAAAATGTCCTAGCCTGCTGGGGCCAACCTAATGTGAGGAGTGAGAGGGGAAAGAAGGGAGTGGCCCGGTCCTTGTGCCTCCTCTCTTTCTGTCAAGAGTTCCACACAGGCCCTTGTGTTTTATGAGTCCTTTCTCTGACCAGATACACAGGGAGCCAGATCCATGGCACAAAGGGGCTGATGGGAAGTGGCACAGAGTTTTCTCTAGAATATACTTGGCTCCGTGAGGCTCATGCTGCAGATCACATGTCCGTCATCACAGTGACAGGAATAGCACCTGAGAAATAAAAAAGACACCCAAGAAACAGATAGCAGCTCTTTCTCCTTGAGTGTTTTAGTTGGGCCAAGTCACTTAACTAATAAACTGTGAAATCCTCCTGTCCAATGTATGCTTAATAAATTGTCCAAAAGTGTTTTCAGGTTTAAAACAGAAAGCAATTATGTTCCTCTGTCTTAGGCTTTCCCGCCAAATGCGATAACTGCGTTGTCCTACTGTGGCTCTGTGACTGTGCTCTTTGCAGTCATCAAAGTGGTCAGCTACCGCCTGCACCTCATGTTTGATAAAGGAGAGGTGATCCAGCAGAGGTCCCCCAGGCAGCCGGAAAAGCCAAAGAAAGACAGAGAGGCCAATCCCAATGTTGAACATGCCACCAACCCCAAAATTCTCAGGTAAGCTGGCCAGTGGATGTGTCAGCCCATCCTTGAAATGTTTTGGTTTTGATTAAAGTGATGTTTCTCATTCATTACTGGTTTATGAAAATATCCCAGTACAGGTGGACTCAGACCTATATATTTATACTGAAGCATAAAATTGACTTATGTAGTTAGAACGGTGTAACTGGCTCAGTGTGACCTTACACCATGACCTTTCGCCATGACCTAAATAAAATTCAGTTGCCTTAGGGTTAGCATTGCAAAATATTCAACTTCAGTATTGTTTATCTTATAATTTAAATGCCTACTGTATGCCAATATTAAGGAATAATATTTGTATTTGTTGACATAAAAGTATATTTTGCACATAATTGAAATTTTACCAGAATTCTTGGGAAGCATTTTTGTAACCATTCTTGTATTATTTGTTACTATTCCTTAAGGGAGTCCTGTTATAATTTTAAAGTAATAAGTTTTACCCTCTCTTGGAAATAAGATTTGTATATAAGCGAAATAACAACATGGACCTAAGAGAAGAAACCAGTTGGACAAATACTGAAAGTCATAGTTCTACTTGGTGACATCACTGTTCTTTGTTTCTCTTGTTTGGATCAGCAATACCAGGCCAATTCACAACAGCAAGAGAGAAGAGGTTGGCAGGAGCGTCCCTACCCCTCCCCTGCGCTGCAGCTCCCGGGGGCAGAGCCTCAGCTCACACCGCTCCTTGGGGCCAC